CAACAACAGACAGTAGTAGACCCAATTGACTTTTTCAAAGCTAAATCAAACATATACGTGTAGGTCGCAGATAACATTCAAATTCGTTTTTCTGTGTAGCACTCTTAACACAATATAAACAAATATATAAATAATAATCATAATATTAATAATATGATAATGATAATAATACTGATAATAATAATAATAATAGTTATTATTATTATTATTAACGTTGGAAAACGAGATAAAAAACGAAAAACTAATTCAAAATGAATGGCTCTTATGCTAAAGCCAATAATCTCGTTCAAAAAACAATCTACCGATAAATGTGGATATTATTATTTATTTTGGCCTAGTTTATTTATCACGTACTCTTATCAGATTCAGCCGCTGGGGCCCGAGTTCACTACAATTTTACGCAGGTTTTCACATATTATTTTGTCCTCGGCTAGGCTAAAGAATATAGACTACAGTACCGTACCGTATGATAACATCAGTAATTGCTATGCTGCCACCAAGACTTCGGTTATCGGAGAACCTCAAAACAGGATAGCGAAGCCCAATATGTTTTCGCCGTAAAACTTGGCATGCATAATGTCAAGCGCTTGCTTTACGCGAATAAATTTGACAACTGGCAAACCAGTAATGAGTTTTGATATCGCCTGAATTAATTGGGCTAAATCTATGTTGTGCAGATGACGGTCACAAATAATATGTAAATCTACAATCCGTTTGATGTCACGTCGTCGAAATCGAAAGCTTCCTATTCTACACTCTACCAAGTAAAATTAAAGTTTTCTTTTGTTACGGGAACGGGAGTGACCGCACGAGAACACAAGGCGCTAATATAGGCTATATTTCAGGAAATACGGTGAAGATCTGCCTTGAAATTTATTTGAAAACGACAGGCAACGAGTACTTTCGGTCATAGACCTTTATCAAGTTGATAAATCTTTACGACCGAAAGTACTCGTTACCAGCTATTTATTATGTTACATTATATACAGATTTTAAGGCATGGGAAAAACAGAAACCCTTTCGTATACATGCATGGCCACCGTCATAACCACTTGACCACAAAGCGTCGTGTTGAGCCAAGCACTAGTAGAATTTGAGTTCCTTTCATTCTTTTATCAGCTTTTCCAACTGTATATAGCTGCATCAAAGTATGTTGTTTTTTCCGGCATGGCATGTTCCTTGCATATACACAGATTATATGTATACGTTTTCTATTATATATGTTGATAATAAAGGAAAATATTATAAAAGATACAACATTGTAACCAAATAAATTTATTCAACACTTTACACAGATTATTATATTAAACGAACATTTTTAAAATACTTTTTTTAAAATATTAATCATAAGGATGATGCATCCTAATTATGATGTACCAGTACAGTACCATGGAGGTGGTGACGATGATGATAATAATCAAGATGGTTAAGATAGTGATAAATACGATGATAATCGAAATCATAATCATAATTAAATTGTGATGATGATCAGATCAGATATGACAAGGATCATGATTGGTTGGAAAACTCTACCAGATATGAAAGAAGTCTAATTGTTTAAATTATGTGTCGATTGTCCCGGTTCATTATTGTGGGAATTTCTCTAATATCCGTAGGCATTATAACGACCAAGGAACATATGAATAGAACTACAGTCTCATAAATATTGCATAAGTGTACATACCGACTCTGGGAGCTAAAGCCGGGCACTCACTGCGTCGTACGACCGTCGCACGACGAATCTAACTCCGCTTTCTGTATGCGCTACACCGCGCGACGCCATCTGCAAGTTGTCGGTAGCAGTCTGAACTGATCGTCATTAAAAACGCCCCGTTGTGCACGCGTCGTCGCGTTGCGTTCTTTCATAGAATCGCGTCGGTTGACGACCGTCGGGCGAAGTGAGTGCCCGGCTTTACACTAAACAGATGAGAAAACTATATCAGTTTTGATTCGGATCCGATGTGAATGCGGTTGAACTCTGGCTGAAAGAATGAAAGAACATTGAAGTAACGAAAGTGTGTTGTACTTTACAGCGTCACCTATTTTTAACCACAGATCAAATCCAGGCCTACTCGATGGGCTTTACAGATAGGAAATCAATTCTATACCTAGATCAAAGTACCAAATATGGATATCCGTCTATAGTCTTGCAGTATGGAATCGATGAGGCAGCACTTTTCGAACTAAGAAACTTTTAATCAGCATAACCTTCCGCCCACGGTATTCCCCATGTCACACTTGTGCAAATAGATATAGTTATATATGGTAGGATTTCCCACTTTCTAAATATATGCATAAAGTCTGCTGAATTAATAAAATCATTTGTTCAACACCCGACATCTTTTGCAATTCCAACCATGTGACACTACAATGAGGTTTACCGCGTGAGCATCGAAACGCGTGTCTATCATTAACATCCGTAAATACTCTCAATGTGCAATACCACAATGTATTTATATTTGAGTTAAGATTAAAAAACAACGGTATGTCTATGACCAATGATCTTTGATAATTTAATCGCTACTGACGTAACGCTCACTTTAAGAAGAAGAGACAATACAATAAAGGCAAACGATCATGATTCACCAAGTGGTTATTAGTAGCAGGCCCGTAACTGGGGGGATGGGGTTAAGGGGGTTACGACCAACCGCCCAAAAACTGGAGAAGGTCCGCATTTAAAAACGAAAAATTTATATTAGTACATATATTTAAAATGTTCTCCAGAGTATCAGAAGTATTTCAAGTCGGCATTTCTTAGCTTTCCCAGCTAACACTATTACGTTATTGTATAATGGTTTCCAAAGGGTCCACTTTCCACTGAAACGAACCTCCCACAAATCAGGTCACACTACGGGCCTGAGTAGGCACCATAACCTAACTGTATATATAAAATGTGCCAATTGGTGTTTTCCTAAATAACTACATGATGTCAATGTCATTTCGTTTTTGAGTTTTAACTGCCAGCAAATAACCATTAGGTAACTAAATAAGCAAGTCCAGGCCCGTATTTAGGGGAGGGGGGCGGGTGGTTCCCAGGCCCGTATTTAGGGGGGTTCGTCCGACCCCCCCCCCCCCGCGGGAGATGGAGTTCCGTGAAAATTAGGAAGATTTTTTCACTGCCGTTTTATTCTGTAGGCCTACATAAGCGGGCTAAAACAAAAATAGTACATACATGTAGTTAGGGATCCCAGGCCAACTATTTAAAATGAATCTTGGAGAATTTGATTGAGTTTACTAATAAAAGTTACCGTACTATTATGATAAAATCGAAAAAATTATGATAAACGATGCTTATTTCGTTAATTACAGGAAATTAAAGTTACACAGAATAAAGTCCCCATTTAGGGGAGAGAAGAAGAAGTATGTGGGTTTTGATAAGGAGTTCCGCATAGCCCCAAGCCGAACCCCCCCCCCCCCCCAATTGAAATTCCTAATGAAATTCCTAAATACGGGCCTGAAGTCCATACCGTAAAACCTCGAATAGAAGCCCAATGGGCTTAATATCGAGAAGATGCCCATCTCGAAAAGAAGCCCATCTCTCAAGATAATGTTCTTTTGTTCTTTTTTTTTTCAAGTACAGTACAGAGCACACCGTACATGAATTTCAAAGAAATAAAATACATTAAAATTACGCTTGGGTTATACAGTAGTTTAGGTGATTTAATGCCGGTTAATGCACTACATGATACAGTTTGATGTTACAGTGGCCTTATTTATTGTTATATAGTAGTAATTCCCAAATTTACGCATTCATTTTGACAAGAAGCACCCTTCTTTACTTTGCAAAAGTAGGCTCGAAAAAAGCCCATCCAAAGTTCGCAAAAAACAAAAAAATAAATAAATAAATAATAACATTTAAAAAAAAATCGAGGTTTTATTGTATACCTTTATTAATACAGATCTTAAATCACTTAACTACATTTTGTTTAACAAAATTCAGATTCTGCTTTGAAATATTTGGTTCAAATTATTTTTCATTGCAGTTGAAAATTACCTTTAAAATGACATTAATACTAGGATGAAAAAAAATATATAAAAGAGTAATAAGAATAAGAGTAAAACCACGGTATATTTTAAGATTAGATCTATGCCTCAGTTTTAAAGCTAGAGTTCAACGTGTGAAGCTCGGTTTCCATAGAATCGCTCCTATCGGTGACAATCGACGGCAGTTGTCGGGAAGGTTGAACCTGAATCAACTGTGCCGATTGCGTATTAGGGTACATTGCTGGCTGCCCTGGCGCAATCGGGAAGGCACCCAGATTCGTCTGCAACGCGATCGGCAAAGTTGAACCAGGTCCCACCTCCCCGGCAACTGTAGGCGGCTGTCACAGATAGGGTGAGCGATTCTATGGAAACCGAGCTTCAATAATGCTATTACAGTGTCTTTCTTTTTAGTGTCCCTTTAAGAGGATGTATCCTTTTCTGGTATATAATTGACAATTACAAAGAGAGTGGGAAGGTTTTTAAATTGTAATGTTTTAGCCAGTGGCGTATCTAGAAGGTGCGCAAGGGAGGGGGCGCACGCCCCTCCAAAAATTACTCGCACCTCCCTCCAGTTTCCTACCAAAAAAAAATCACTTGCAAGTAGTTAAATCACCTAAAATCACCTTATTTTGCGAGTTAGCGCCCCTCAACAGATCATTATTTTTATTATTTAAAGGTAAAGGTAAATGACGGAGAATAACCCATAACTCGCCTTTTCATTGTGCTGAATTGCTTATGGGAGTGGCCTACTGTGGCTACATAGCAGCCTAAAAGAGGCGCTTATATAATAGTAGCACATGTTCACATTATTCCACAACGACAGGGGCTGAAATGAACCATATCATCCCCCTTACTCTTCCGAACGATGCAATGAGTTCTTTAAAGTGCACACGGGCCATATATGTACACTGGACCTCCGTTTTAAGTCCTTATCAGAGAAGACATGTTTCTACCAACTGAACCTTGGTAGGGGAGCAGCTAAAACCAGTGCCGATGTTAAGGCTGCAGTTAGCGGCGCCGCTGCCTTACCGTTCGGTCACTCAAGTCTCCAAATTATTTTTATCATTATATCCAGTACAAAAATCCAACTTCATGAGCAAAGAAACGGTAACACTTTATCCACGTAAAAAATATAACAATTTTGTAAATAATTGCAAGACACTGGGAGGGGTTCGTATGTTTGATTTAGTATATTATAGGCCTACAATAAGAACCATAACTATCTAGGACATTAAAATTAGCGAAGTCATGGTAGGTAATCCTTTACCAAAATAATAATCAAAACTGGTACAGTACTCTTAAGTTAATTGCGTGTTAAAAAATATTGAATTCAAAGTGAAACTCTTGTATTTTTCATAGAACTAATGATAAGGTCATATGAACAACTTTCACCACCCGTGCATTTTCCGGAAAATCCCATCCGAATGATACCGGAAGATCTACAGTTATTTACGCATATAAAACAAGCGGATAAGTCACGTCTATAAGATACAATTTACAAAGACATCATCGACGGACAGCTAAAGATGCAAGCAGAAAAAACAGTTAAAATGGTACCGGTAAGTTATGTTACATTAGCTCAGATTGTATGTAACTTAGAACTACATTTGGGAAGTAAATAATATAAAAAGCATTGTGATTTTAAGATTCCTCCGTCTGTAATCGCTGGTATTATAGGACACCCGTCCCCCACCCACCTCCCTGATAGTAGATGGGGACCAGGGTCTGATACTTAATAGATTGGGACCAGTGAGAAACGCACATACCCCTGTTAAGCTGCTGAGACAGGGTAGCTAGTAGGCTTACAATGATTCGTTGCTTTGTAGATGAGGAAGTGAAGTTCTAGCTCATCTACGTATCGGTATCTATTGCTGCATGATATTATCAAGGACCCTTTTTAAATACTATAAGTCTTTGGGCCTAAGCTACAGTCCGATATGTTTCACAAATAGTCCTAGTTTTCATGTTTTATATGTTTTATTGAATTAAAGACGTCTTGTTACAAATAAACTGGAATAATACAATTATTTAACCTTTTTAGACGGTGCACCTACAATTTAAAGCCTACATTTATCGCTCTTATCTTAATGAAATAACGCTATATAAATGTCTCATTATTATTTAAAGTGTCTTTATTACCCCCAGTTAAAGAGGTTATGTATTGACTACTGTCTGTCTGTTAGCAAGATTATGCCAAAACTAATCAATAGGTCATCATAAAATTTAGTGGTACATAATAATCAGAGAAAGGCACCATTCAATTTTCGTATTTTGCAGCACTAACGAAAATAATGTGCCTGAATATACCGGGCGATTCCATTATTTCATTGATTGTATTCTGCAGGTTCGCCCAATGTATTCAGGCTGGGCGGGGGTATAACTCTATGATGTGACTGCTCTAGTTTATATATATTTGCTATCTACTTAACGTTTATTTGTAGCTATATTCTGACTGCTTGAGAACCACAATGGAAATAAGTTGCCAATTTCGGTACTTTATTAAGTTTTTTATCCTTTGAATATGATGGTTCTTGTCGTCTTTGTTTTATGTTAATATTCAGAATAAAGAAATTTAAAAAAAATTTAAAATGCTTTCAATGATTGCTTTTCTGTAAATATTTGCAAATATTGGTTCCTTATTATTCCTGATGATTATCTAAACAAAGGTCGATAGCTTTGCCAAGACTATCAAATTTTATTTGACCAAAACTATTTAAAAAGTATTTGCTATTCATTGTGTTATTCACTATTGATACTTAACTTCTAATAACATTGTGCCGCTCGGAAATACTTGATTTACAGGATGCTGTTCTTATGACTACAGCCATTCCGTTTCCTATTACATATTTTTTTAAATAAACCTCAGGTACATTATGCACTGTTGTAATCGGATATCAGATTATCAATTTTTTTTAAACAAAAAGTGATGTGCCTATATCATGGCCATGATGTGATGTCATCAACATATTTGGGCATGCCACATGTTTTTGTGAAATAAAATGTAATAGACCTTTCCGGAGTGTCAATCAAACTTAACAACTGACTAATCGGAACAGCGCTAGAAATACGCGCGCGTCTCACAAACACACGTGTTGTCCCACAAACGCACGTGTTCGCGTATGTTTTAACACTGCCGTCTTGTGGGACCTTAGCAACAAAATCCAAGGGGCGGAGCTTAGCGGAAAGGTATATTATCTGGACAGCAGGGCTTTATAAGATAATTACTACTAAACCAAATAATAGATAAGTCTATTGAATAATATATTGTTGTATCTATTTCAGCTGACGCCTGCAGAACCCATTCCGCCTAACGTAAGTATCGCTGCAATGTTTTCATTTTGTAACTAGAAAATGAATTGTCTAGGCCTATGTCTGTAAATTGAATAGCTTTATGTTACAGTATTCAGATTGTAACGTTACAATCTCGGTGTATAGGTCTAAAATACAAATGGCTTTTAGTATTAGGCCTATAGCATATTATTTCAAATGTAAATGCTGTCAGCCTAAAACGCCCAGGCTTAAGTTCATGCTAAGTCAAGCTCAATGAAAATATGCTATAATAATAAGTAAGTGTTGTACCTAAGGCTACGCTTAGACTAGTAAGTTCCACTCAGGAAAATGTTCAAAAAAAACAAACAAAAGAAACAACACACCTATGTCGATTGTGGTGTAATAGTGGTCTACCCAACGGAAATATATAGGGGTTGGAAGCAGAGGACGACATATTTTTCAGGATATTCCCCACATAATTTTATATTGTGCATGTCGTAAGGCCTGTTTACACTTCAACGATAACGATAAAAATGCTAAAAAGCGATTGTTCATATACAAAACAAAAGAAATTAGAGAAGTTTTTACACTAGGACGATTCTATAACGATTTATCGTGTATGCAATAACACATTATTTTAACAAAACCGAATGAGATGACGTCATAATCATAGACAAACGATAAAATCGTTGCTACTACGACGATTTTAATGTTTTTTTGATTATGACGTCATCTGATTTGATTTGTCAAAATATTTTGTTATCGCATAACTGATAAATCGTTATTGAATCGTTCTAGTATAAAAACTTCTCTTACTTCTTTTATTTTCTATATGAACTATTGCTTTTTAGCTTTTTATTATCGTTAACGTTGAAGTATAAACAGGCCTTTAGAGTATCTCCTTTAGATTGTCAGAATTAAACAAGAAATTTATTCTAAACCTATTCCTCTGTCTACGAGCTCTATAGGCCTATAAAATAAAATTTGTTCCTAATTTATATACAGTAATATTGATTGCGTCCAGAACGGTTATAAATATGCCATATTGTAGTATGAACGTGCGCATGCACATAACAAAAGTCAATTGAATTTTACTTTATATTTGGTTTCTATTCGTTTTACTAAGTAACATTAAAACATCGACACCTTGTACCTTTTACAGTATTATATTATTTCACTTTCGGTTTTATAGATATTTTGTTTTCTGTTATGGCTAGTTCTATTTTGCGCAATATAAATGAATAACCTTTAACCTTTTATGTTGTCTTGATAAACTTGTTTTATGCTTCCTTTCTTTTAATTTTAGAATTGTTTTGATTAAGTTTATTAAACCATTTTTTTTTTTGCACATTCCTTATAATACTATTACCAATCAGCAAGAAAATAAAGAAAAGGATGAGTAATACAAGATGTAATACAAGAAATAATAAAGAAAGATTTGTATAATTTCCGGGAAACACCATTCTCCTACCCATACTTCACCTCCCCTGCATAATAGACAGTTCCGACCAATTAAATTGAACAACTGGCCAATCAGAACAGGATCAGAGATATGCTGTTGTCTCACAAACATAAGAATTGTCCACAAACGCATGTACTTATGTAAATTTACGCTGTCCTTTTGTGGGACCTTAGCAATTATATCAAAAAGGTGCTGCTTATCGGAACGATCCATTTCCTTGAAAGCTTTTCCATTCCTGTTAATTACTATAGTAATTTTAAACATGCTTCTGATCATTAATTTCAGTGGCCAAATGGAGATTTTGGATTGTTATTATCTGTAAAGTCTTCTTGTGGCGACGGGCTGATGAAAATAGGAAAACTCATCAATGAAGAATATAACATTCGGGCGGTAGACTTCACTGGATATCTCTCAAATAGCAAGTGTAAGTACTATACTACGTCCTATAATTGTAATTTGTATTGTAATATAATTATGTTTGCCGATACCATACGATCGATACGATAACACTTCATTGCAATTTGTTCAAATAATACACAAAGTGAAGTTTAACATTAAAAATATATAATAAAACATCATTTTAATATCTCACATACAATCAAAACACAACGAGCAATGGGGTAAAGTGGAGGATAACTAAGATCCAGGGACATAGACAGTAACAATAATAAAAATAATAATACATACTAAAAACCATGAAAAGCAGTTGAGAATAAACAACCAGTTACAACAAAGAAAATCTACTACTCGGCTGGCAAACTATTGTATTATATAATTAAGATTGATCACATTATTTATATTACTATTATTTTCGCATTATCATTATTATTATTGTTACTATTATTGTTATATTCATTTCTATTATTATTATCATTATTATTATTATAAATATCATTCGTCACCACAATCATCATAATAATGTGACCATTACAATAACAATAATCACAATAACAATCCAATAAAAACAGCAAATAACAACAATAATAACAATTAATATATAAAAATAGCATTATCAGTCCCACCATTGTTATTATTATTAATGGTTTTTGATGACATACATCAATAAAGTGAATTATTATCAATGGGCATTGATCTTATTATTATTATTATTATTATTATTATTATTATTATTATTATTCATTTTTTAGGCACACGAGTTCATTTCCAGCAATGTGGCGTAAGCGATGCTGACTCCGTTACGATGAAAGTTCGAATGATAGACCCACTGGATGAGGGTGTAAGTCCAGCTGAAGATAGACCAAACGACTATACGTACAAACTGGTGGTCATTGATGGCAAACTTTGTCAGCGTGAAGGACAGTTATTGGTGGCGGTAAAGGATATACCATCGGTAAGTTATCGGTTATTTATATATACCAAAGTTACTTTTATGTGATTTACTATCATTTATTTCGTATTAGGCAATACCTTGAGAAAAAACATGTCCTAATCGGAAAATCTAAGGGTGTATACCACTTGGCCTTATAGCTTAATGGGTAGAGTATCCGAACGGTAATTGGAAGGTCTTGGGCTCGAATTTCGATAGGACATACGTTTTTCTCAAATATTTAATATATATATATATATATATATATATATATATATATATGTGTGTGTGTGTGTATATATATAGATGTATATATATATATATATATATGTATGTATATGTATATATATATGTATATGTATATATGTGTATATGTGTGTATGTATGTGTATGTTTATATATGTATGTATGTATATATATACACTTATATATATATACATATATATATATATATATCATATCATATCAAGATAGCCGTTAATACTGTTAAATTATATATAAATCATCAAAGAAAGGTAAATACAGTGTTCGAATAAAGGACATAAATTTGTTTTCTTTTGTTAAATTTTTTAAATATGATTATATCTAAACTTGTATTTCGTTTGCCACACATGTTGAAGAAAACTATAAGACGGGTCGAAATTTTCATGTGTTCAATAAATTATGTGTTTTTAAGTCTATAAATTCGTTGTCTCCTCATCGACTTTTTAATTGAGTTATATACGTGCTGAAGAAGAACCGAGGACAGTTCGAAATATTCATGTTTTGAATAAATTGTGTGTGTTATGTCTATATCTTATATGTCTATATATACATTATAATCAGTGAATTACGTATATTTATGTAAGTTTAAATTATACATACACCTAGGCCTATACCTTGTATTATTGTTGTTTCATTTTCAGAACAAAAACTTGGATGAAATTAAATGTGAGGATTTTTTGTTCAAACTATACAACTACTTGACTTGGCCTACGGATGATTCTGTCATGATGAGTGTTACATCTGAACAGAAAACATGGATTGCCTCGGATAACACTGGTCAAGTGATCATGATGTCATCACAACTAAAATTTAACAATCCTTTCTTAGAAATGAGGATAATTGATGAGGGAAGAATTGACGAATCAAAATCATCAATTATTCGTCATCCATCATAGTTCAAATTTGTACTTTACTGAAATAATAGTCATTATAGTCTACCGAAAAAAAATCTGTCACACTATTACTTTATAAAAACATACTTGGCATACAAGTGGGGCATTATAATTGCACAAAAAGACATAGAAAAATATCTTTCATAATCTCATATTTTCGAGCAGAATAGGTTAATAATACACGGCCAATTATTTCAAGTTATTTAGGATCACTATCTGCGCCTCTAAAGCCACGCTTCCCAAAAATGGGTCGCCAAACGTTTGCGTTCTATAAAAATACATTATATTATAACATATATTTTATGTAGTATCTTCATAAAGTAACATTGCTGCCATAATATTTAATAAAAGTTTATATTTTGAAATATGATTGTTGTGGGTTGTTCGCTTATTTTCTTACTGAGCAGACATTTAATTGAAACAAACTTCAGTGGTTAAATGTAGGCGACATTCTTTGTTTTTTTCTTTCTTTATTTTATAATTCTGGCCTTCGGCCCGTATTACATAACAAAATAAATAATTAATTTCTTTTAGACGGTAATTTCTTAAAATGAAAAATTGTTCAATATATATTGCAAGCAATCTTAATTCTTCTTTATTTCTAAATACTTAGTTTAAATATGTATATACATTTCGATTTTTTACATTAAGGTATTTATCTCTAAGACTGAAGGGAAGCTAAATAAGAAGTGTAATTCCTCCTCTATTTCTCCAATATCACAGACTAAACAGATTCTATTTTATCTAACAATTTTTAGATGTCTTCCTTTCTCTATAAATATATTATGTGTTCACAAACGGAATTTCGATAAAGATTTCCTTAACTTAAAGTTTAAATAGTATAAGTAATCTTCTGTAAGATAGTCATTTTTTACTTTGTTATAAAAACGGAAACGTGGGTGTTGTTGAATAAATTCTCGTCGATTTTGTGTCGCAGTATCGTATACCCTTCGAATGAAAATTAATAGGAAATTATCGTTTGCTTAGTTCAAATATAATTAAATCCATAAAAATTAAAAATATTCCTAATACCAAGTGCCCATAGTCGCTTCCTCTTTCAGCCCATGATTTTTGTTGAGCAAGGCATATTCTTGGCAGTCTTTTGGCTTCCATCATTAATATCTAAAGCCAATAACTTACTATTCTAATATGCCTAAAATATTTTATTTCAATATGACCCAGTTCACGTCTGGCACATTTGTCCGGACATGACTGCTGGACATTAAGTATATATTTACAGTGTTTCAAGTGTATATTTTCAATTTTTTTTCTTCCATAGCTGCCCTCACACCCGTATAAAATAATAGGGAGGATTTCGTCTCAAATAACATTTGACCTTAATTTTAACAGAATTGAAACTTAAATTAGACAGTTTCCTTCTTAAATTGAAGATTGCTGTTTTTCCCTTTTCTGCCATGACTTTCCCATTGTGTTCTATTTACCCTGACTATTAATAGTGAGAACTAAATATTTAAAATCATTTAAAATTTCAATTTCATTTCTATTGACTACGGTATCCATTTATCTTTTTTATTTAATGTCCCACCTTTTCTGAAAACCATAATTTTTGTTTTACTGTATTAATAATAAGGCTATTTTGGGTACAGTATTTCTGCAATTGGTCAGTTTGCATTTGAATACCGATTTTCGAGTAAGAAATAAGTGCCATCTCATCTGCATATAATTAAATGTGAATTAACTTTTGTCTCAATTGAACAAAATGTAAATCATTTTCTAGTAAGGATATTTTAGGTCATAAATAAATATAATAAATAGGATGGGAGATGGGAGGCACCCTTCTCTAAGCCCAGTGTTGCTTTTAAAACTGTTGGTTAGTCCGTGCTGTGTTTTAATTCAGAAAATCAGATCATAACTCAGAAACCAGATTATGAGCGAATGCCGGTAGGCCGCCGTCACCGGGTAGAGGTTTCTAGAGTGTTTAAATCTTATAATATAATAATGATTACCAAAACGTTATTTAGGACGTCTAAAAGCTTAACATAAAAACATGATTTTCAATATGCATAATGGATATTTATGCTGCAGAGGTGACGCCAGCGGGGTGGGGGGAAACCAGCATCCCCCCACCCCCGTCGGGAGGAAAACCACAATTCGTCTTTTCGGGGGCTCGGCTCCACCTCCCTGAATAGGGGTACCCATATTTAGGGGAGACTAAAACGAAAACGTGAAATCGTCATAGGAGTCAAGGACCTCCACCGGGGTCCCTCAACGGCCGCTATAATACTCCCCGCCATAATACTAGCTTCGTTCGCCCAGTCTCCACCGGTGCATTCGGTCCCTCTATCAGGCAGATAAGTGTGCCATCACGTTGGACACGTGCATACGTGCATTTTTCAGTAATGGACCTTTCCGCTAAGCCCCGCCCCTTGAGTATTGTTGTTTTTGGTGCCACAAAACAATAGCGCAAATATACGTAAGCACGTGTATTTGTGGAACCACGAGCAGTGTGTTTTAACTGATCGGTTAATTGAAATTTCGTAAAGGTCAACTGGGTCGGTACCTTACTTTGTTTTGAGAGGATTGTAGGGTGTGTATCAGTATACGTGGCAAATATTCCTGATATAGGTAATATTTTCACTAGACGATGATGGTAGTAGTGGTTGAGGTGGTGGTGGATGATGATGATGATGATGATGATGATGATGATGATCGAAACGAAAAATCCATCCCATCTCAGCACTTGATGACGAGACGTCATTTGCAGTTTGTCAGGGGCAGTTTGAGAGATCGTCATTAAAAACGATCAGAAGATGTGCGCACCTTGTTGCGTTCCCCATGGACTCGCATAGGTTTATCACTAAATACCGTAGGCCTTAGCCAAGGTCCACTTTGTGGGCTCGGCTCGTTTCATTTAGGTTTGCTCTCTGAATTTTGATCAAGTAACTTATGGCTATCTAATAATGCCATATCTTATGAATAAATAGCACGTATATATCCCAGATAGAGAGCTGTTCACTGTGCCATTTTTCATGTAATCCTGAACGTGTAGCTTTGTGTCGTTCGTTAGATTAATTTATTTTGCTGTTAAAGAATTGCTCCATAGTTAAAGCAATGCTAATCCAAAGTCAAAGCAATTCTGGATTTATGCACAAAAGATACATAATCCTCTATCACTGTTCTATTTGGCACTGATTGTACACGATAAAAGCGAGCGGCGACGAGACAGCGTCAATCCTTGCTATTGTAAATGGTCAACAGAATTTAAGTTGGTAAGCCTTACAAAACTAAGGATTTATTGTGGATTACGTGATATGCGTTGATAAAGAGGATAACAATTACTGAAAAACTACTAATATAGACGCATATTGCACTTTGTGCGGACTTGAAAAAGACGAGATAACAAACAAAGAATTAATCCCAATTCTAGCCCTGAAAGTCAAGATACATTCATCTCAGTTGTGAGAGTAAGCATTAACCATTACCTCCTAGATGATCCATCTTTTGTTTTAGGTCTGTTCGTTGTACAATACGCTGTCAGCATATAAATACATTTGGGCTTCGTTAATCAGTTTAGTTACCGGTCAGCCGTGATTCAACATTTTGCGTTTAGTTGAAAAGTTTGAAGCTTTCAAAATCTTGAAATAATAATCATTTAAGATGACTGATTCAATATCATTAAACCTACTTTTCGATGGTCAAAAGTACACCGAACTAATGGCAGATCCACAGTATAACAAGAATAACCTTTACGAAGATCCACATTTCAAACCTTGTAGTGAGTCGATATTTTTAGATGCAGACACTACTTTTCTCCTGAAATTCTACGAAAAACGTGAATCAATCAAGTGGTTACGTCCTAGCGTGAGTACAACACTTTATACATGTTTGTACATTGTACAAATAAACCATGCTGTTCAGTGATATATATATATATAGCGTGAGTACAACACTACTTATACATGTTTGTACATTGTACAAATAAACCATGCTGTTCAGTGATATATATATATATAGCGTGAGTACAACACTACTTATAC